AGGAAAAAGCAAAGGCACCCTCTTCAGTTCCGTATAACCCTCAAGAACCTGGAGAAATTGATGCTGAAAAGCTTTTAGAAGATCCTACCAAAAGTAATGCCCGAGGCCAAAGTCTCACACCATCTGTTCTGGGGGTATGCCACAGATTTCTGGAAGATCTAATCAGCGGGCTTTTATCTAACATTCTCCCTGCCACCGCCAGCACATCTTCCTCTACAGAAAATAAAATGGATTTTGCAGAATTTGACTTAATTCACATGAAGATAATCAGTAAAGTCACGGCAAAAATCTCTGAAGATGAGAACTCTTCCAGCCAGCATACTGAACAGCCTCATTCCAGGGCGGAGGACATGATTCAAACAACTGCTGATTCAGTCTATAATAAGCTTTTGACACAGTTTCAGTCTAGATTAAATATGCAGAACTGTCTAAGAAATGGGTGCATGGTTATTTCTGAAGCTCTCTGTGACTTGGTCGTCCAAGAGGTTTCTGGACATCCACTGCAGAACTCGCTTTCCGAAGGATTACTGCTTCACCACTGTGCTGAAGCTGACGAGATTGCTGGAAAAGTTACTTTAAGAAATGTTACTGAGCCTTTGCATCACCCAAACAGTTTATCGTCATATCTTAGTAAGATAGCTCCTCTCATCATAGAAAAACTAGAAGCAAACCTTATGTCAACACTTTCTTCCCTCTTTCCCGTTGCCGATTTGGACACAGAAAAGATTTTGTTACTGAATGGAGCAACTAGGAAAATACTGCATGCTTTGCAAGTAGTCCTGTCACAACACCAGATGAACATGAACAAACATATCAATGAAAGAGAATTTTTAGGCACTGAAGACAGGCCGGCTATGGGAGACATATTCCGTTTGGTTTCCACAAGCACTGGAGACCATTCTGACTCCGACATTTTTGTTTGCGGAAACCTAACAGATAAGACAGATATTTTAGCTAATAGGATAGCGGCTTCCATAGCAAGAGAAGTTGCCAAACCTGAATTTCAAGGCAGTTCAGAGGGGGAGACATTGCCTGTTTCAACTTCAACAGAAGCTGTTAGGATTGTTGAGAAATTCCCTGCTGATTTTGGCACAATAGAGAAAGTGCCAAAGCCACCTATAAACCCACCTATTCTTGTGGTACCCGCGACATTTGTGGAAGAAATATTAAGTCGATTCCTTGCAAAAGTCTTAAGATCAACTGATGGCACAAGCCCAAATTCCAGAAGACATTTATCACGATCCAAAGTGAATGAAATTGTTGAGGACCTTAAAGAGGCCATGGAACAAGGCCTGTCCAAACATAAAATCGGCCTTGTGGCAGCTACAAATGAACAACATTTACCTCCAGAGCATGAAGATGCAATTAATGAAGTTGTTCTTTCTGTTTCCAGGAATATGTTACAAAAATCTGGATCTGAGCAAGAACTTTATGATGACATAACAGGTTTCGATTTATTTTTTCCTCAAGAAATGGTTACAGTAATAATTGAGGAACTCTCTGATTGCCCTTTTTTACAGGCTGGTGGTGACAATCCAGCAACACCAAGCCAAAGTGCAATGAACCCAGGCAGAATTGCCGACATGGTCCTTTCCCAAGTGTCTGTTAGCGAAGAGCTTGAGACCTGGAGTTCTGAGGAGACAATCCCAGTTTCCACTACAAACATAACCACCTCAAAGACAGAGGAGCTGCCTGTGAAAACAATCCCTTATATTAGAATCACACATACACCCATTGCTCCGGACTTGGTGTCTGATCATTTACGAGTTATTTCCCTAAAAACAGAACCTCCTGAGAAAGTGCAAAAAGCATCCATTGCTCAAACTGAGAAGTGTTCTGAAAATGAAAGTTTAACATCTGAGGCACAGAGAAATGAAGACAGTCATTTTTCTCTGGGTAGCACAGGACAACCAGTTGTAAGACCAGAGGAGATAAGTAGAAATAATAAGGCTGAGGCAATCCTGTTTTGTGAATGCCATTTTGCTTCTAACTGGATC